GAAGATGTTTACACTAACTAGCAACTCAGCAGGAGCAACTCGGTAATCTGTAACACCTCTCATTACAGATTACAGTAAGAAAAAAGCAGGATTTTATGACTCTATAATCGTCTAATCTTACACAAACACTAACGTAACAAACAGAAAATCATGTAGTTTGAGCCTGGCATTACATAATTTAACCCTGAATTAGCCCCAACCACAAATGCTTGACTAGTTTGTTTGTTTGTGCAGCAGCAGAGAGCAGATCTAATCAAAACTGAAAATGATCAAAAATGAACCACGAGAAGAGGATGCAGGGTTTCACTGGCTCTCATCTCTGTATTGATTTGTGTATGTGTGAGTCATTTTTTCTGTCTTGCTCTAAATTTCATTTTAAATCTTAGATTTTACTTTAGATTTGGTTTCCAGAGAGAGATTTTGTTGTTAGCGATAGATGAATTTGTCAGTTGCAAGATGCTATAAATTAAGAATCAGCATTAATAATACATGTGTGTATTGACATGTACACATCTCAGTAAATTTATATATCAGTGCTTCTGCATACTGCATGTCTTTTGTAAGTGCCCAGTATTGTTTCAGTTGTTTTTTTCTATTCTAGTTTCTATTTCTATTTGTATTTTAACTGAAATGTGTCTCCCCACCCAGTTTTAGTCATCAGTGACAATAACATGGTTTCCGGCCAAGTTCTACACTAATATTCAGTAGCAAGCTGACCTGCACATGAGTTTAATGGCTCTGCAGCTTGTTATGTATGACAGTTATCAGATGACAGCTTCTGTGGGTTTCAATGCCTTTGCAAAGCAGATGAAACAAACCTATTTTATTCTGCGCTGTGACAGTATATGCAACCTGGTGGTGTATCTTCGTGTCATCACTTTGTTCCCCCGCTTATGTTCGTGATAAGGAAACAACTTGTTAAAGCCTGACAACCTTGCAAACACTCAGTGACCTGACAGGCTAGAAAATGTGTGTTTGTTTGAATGAGCAGGTGTGTCATTAGGGTTTAAGGTCAAAATGCTTACCTTCGAACTGAGCTGGGTGTGGTTGTGTAGTCAACAATCAGAAGGTGTATGTTGTTTGTGAAACTCCACCCAAAATATGTGGGTTGTGCAGTTTTGTTTTATTTCCATTTCACATTCATGAATGAGGGCCTTTTATTAAGTAACACACATTAATGTTCTGACTAATGTTGCTGATTATATCCATGCTGATAAGACAGTCATAAAGCTTCTGAAAAATACTGCTATTAATAGTAAATTGATAAGAAACTGAACTATGAATTGCACACCGAAGCTCTGCCCATGTACATCAAAACCCACTAAAAGCACAACATGGTAACTCATTTGGTTTCTTTAATGCACATCTGAATAATGAATGTAAACGTAGATATTCGATCTTTTTTAATTAAATAGTCGCACATTTCATCCTGTTATTGCCTCTGTAATTAAGTAATCTCATTATCCATAATTAACACATTCCATCACAGTGACATCAAAATAATTTCTTTAATAACTTAGAACAAACAGGCATTCATTTTGTTACCGCGTTCTTATGTTGATGACTAATGATGACCTACTAATGACTCAAAAATAGTTACTGATAACATGAAACCGACTTATGGGATTGTTAAATTATCTGGGAGAGGCCAGTGCCGTGTGAAACTGTGGCGGTCATTAATATAAAGCGTGTAAATACAAAGTAAAGAAAAACACGAGCCTTTTCTTATTAATATTTTCCAGTTAACAAAAAGACCAAAAAAAAAAGTGAGAGATGGGGCATAAAATAAACACATCCAGTTCCTCTTTTTTACTTGTAAAAGTGCAGCAATCATTAATAAACGTGGACACAGATGTTGACACAGATAAATCTGTGAACTCTTTACAGCAATTATTTGCAATTTATTCAAATCAACTTTGCAAACATGTTAATGTAATTTTGTTTATTTGTGTAGAATGACCGGATATTCTACTTTGTGAAGGACTGCACAGCATTTTTATGCACCACGTTATTCTTTTCCATTAGCTCTGTAATATTCAACGCTGCAGAACAGAAAGTTTTCTCAAATCTGCCACTGATCAGTGGCTGTGACGAAAGCGGGGAAGGCCCCGTCCCCTTAGGGGGATGTCGATCAAACTGTGCGCACAGGGGTTCAAGCTCAGGCTAAGCTGTCACTGTGAACGCTGGCGTTGCTCTAAACGGGAAGAATTTGGAGTCAACCCAAAGTTGAACATTACGCAGGATATGGTGAAAACCCTCACAAAGAAAACCATCACACAGACTGGGAAACTGTTTATTTAATATGAATTATCTGGTTTTATTCCATCCATCAACCCATGATATTTATTTTGGATATTTTTTCTTGAAATAGAGAGTACCCCTGGATTGCGGTAAGGAGCAGTAACTAATAGATTTAGGTAAAAAAATGAATTTTTAATTAAGTATATAGATGAGGTTCAGTCTATTATTAGCCTGGTAAATGCTGAACCATGAAATAGTTGCCGAACTCATGTATGAAATATGATACATTTGGCGTTACAGGATTAGGTTGTAAAGGGGAATACGTGAGTGGAAGCAGATATCTGGCATGAGAACAGCAAAACTTGAGACCGGTAAAATGTCAGTCAAAAAACTTGACTTTTACAATTTAAATGACCCAACTGGAAATCTGCACAGTGTGCAGTTGTCATAGCACAACACCATACACTGAGACTGCACCTCTTCTTCTTCACTCATTAATATGTCTAGTAAACTTTTCTTATTTCCTGTATTGTGGCCTGTAAAAAAGTAATGCCATTGTAGTAGATTTTACAGTATCACACTGCAGATATCGCACTGCAAACGTGACATGTCGAGAAAGAAAAACGTCTTTGATCCTTGTGAGCTCTCGCTCTTACCGCCACGCTGATGTGGAGTGAGTCTCCCTGTGCAGTGTATTTTGTTTCAGGTTGGGAAAATTTGCATTATGTAAAGTCATACTGAGATGGCCATCAGCAATTCCTGTTTGAACAACAATCTCTGTCTTACATTTGATACCGAGCAAACCATGTTAGGATTATTATAAAGACTTCAAAGCAAATTTCTGAAGAGGAAAGCATCACGAATTCTTTTTTTAGCTTAGCTCATTTTTACACAATAAACATTTAACTGTCTCTGACTTGGGAGTCCAGATACCATTGAATGTAAATGAGGTCTATGCTTTGATTAGATGTTCAGGTGGTAATTTCTCTAAGTGAACCAGGTGCCAATTATTGCACAGCGAGCCAGCTGAAGCTCCCACTGTTATATTAAGCATTCACCAGAGCTTTGAAATTGTTCTGTCTGTCCTCCTCAGTCTGAGAACCACTGACCCAAGCATCATCCTGCAACACCTGTACCAAAAACCACCACTCAGAAAATGCTTAACCCTGGCAGTAATGGTAGTACTTCTCTAACAGGGTCTGTGTGTGTGTGTGTGCACGCGCTCGTCCATCAAAGAGCACTAAACTGCGAAAAATGGAGGACAGCCTTTGATGTGCACTTACATAATCTGTAGTGATGGGCTGGAGAGTCAGAGTTTGGCCACACACACATTTTCACACTCTGACCCAGTGGATATCCTCCATCTCATTGTCTCCTGCTTGATGCTGATTGGCTCTCAGAGCTGCATTGCATTTACCGTGACCTCTGGCTCTTCATCTGTGAGTCTGGATTTCTTGTCGCTGGGCTAATTTAGTTTTTCCTAAACTCTTGATTATAGCATCTAATCTTTTCCTGATTTGTTAGTCTGTAATTAAATTTGCTGTCTGATATTGTTTTCACAGATGCTTCAGTTAATGAATTCAGAGGCCAACTGCTGTCTTCAACATTTTCTTGAAGTGTGTTTTATTTCACTGTATAGCTGTGCTTTTGCACACATAGTAAGGCTGAGAAGAAGAGAATATGTGAATAAATCAAGGCCTGTGGGCCAACTCTAACCCTTCAAAATGTTTATATGGCTCACATATAATTTCAGTGTTGACCAAATCTGGTCCACCCCGTTGTAGCTGTGGTCTACACACACCAGTGTGAGTGGGGTCGGTTTTCTTCCACTTTTTAAAAATTATTTCTGCAGGAATTGGCGGCAGAGGAAATGGAAAGCTCTTTCTGATAGTTATGAGTAAATGTTAACTAAGGTGGAAATATTGCCACTTGGGGTTCAGGATTTGCCCTTGGACCCCTTTTCAATGACACAGTGGCAGTTCTGTAGCATCAGATTCAGAATACTTCATGAATCCAAGAGGAAATTATGTAAATTATGAAATTATTATGATGGTATTACGCCCACTGGCAAGCAGTAGTAACCCTACCATACAATGAGGTATTTATTTTATATGGCACAGGTGTACTACGTGATCTTGACTAAATGTTATAAAGGCTAATAAATGTTTTTGTGTGGCCTGCTTCAGGGCTTTAATGTGAAAAACAAGCACAAGACATACATTTTCAATGAAGGTAAACCTTGTCAACAGACCGTATCTGTCCAGCACTTGATTTCGTTCTCATTTCCCAGTGTGGTTGTTAGTAAAACTACATTTGACACCCTTGATTTTGAGCTCAATCCACAGCTGTTTGAAATGAAATAAACCATGACTCCCTCATAAATACGACAAAAGACAAAATGCTGCTTTTTCTGACCGGAGTGATAAACTCACAGCAGATGGTTAATGGAGAGCAGATATTTACCAAATAACCACAAGTGTCACAGGAGCTGCGCAAACTGATACGTTTATATCATAACGACCTCGGTGATTCAGGGGACTCCTTTAATAATCTAAGATGAGAAAATCTCTTCTCTAATTGGGCAAATTAGTCTCTCTGCTATTAATTAGAAAGATTACTTCAGGAGTCCCTTTAATTTCTTTCTTTCTTTATTTCTTATGTGTGCTGCTTCTGATCCTGGGCTGGTACGTCTTCAGACAGTTTCCACTCTGGTTCTGGTTTCTAAACAACTGTTTTCCTGTTTTCTATTTTCTCTGCAGAGTAAAACCAGCAGAACATGTTTACTCCACTGTTTCCATAGTTACTGAGAAGAGCATGCACGTCCAGAGAAGGCTTTAACGTCACAGTTTGTCTCCTCCGGCTGCCATCTAAAAGAACTACACTACCCACAATTCCTGTGACTAATAACATAGCCAACGTTTCGATCACTACAAACAAAGACAGTCAGAAGAACGACACTGCTGTAAAGAGGACCACCATGGCAAACAACCCTGCAGACCACCCTCCGGGGAATTCGGTTGCTGAGGGCAACCATGAAGGGGACTTTGGGGTGGCCATGGTGGACTTGAGGACCCTGATGGAGCTGCGGAGCACTGAGGCCGTCAACAAGATACGGGACACTTACGGAGATGTGCAGGGCATCTGCCGCCGCCTGAAAACATCCCCTATAGAAGGTAAGACCGGTTCAATACACACCACCAAACCATTTAAGTCAGTGGATCTGAAACAGTTCACAACCTACAATTTTTTTTTGTTTTTTGCCATTAAAAAAAATGATCCAAGGTGAATTCGATTGGCAGTGGTCACCATCATATCATCAATAAACACTTTTGAAAAGTTTTCCCTCCAGAAATCACATTTATTCTGCTTAATTTAACTTCTGTCAACACGTGTTAGCTGGGATAGGCTCCAGCCCACCTCTTCATGACCACATATATGGTGTTATGTACTAAAAAGGCTGGAAGTTTTTTGTTTATTGGAGCCTTGTGTACAGTCAAGAAAGTTTGCTTTTGGTACCTTCGAATGATCTAAACAGTTTTAATGAAGATACTTTTTTATTTCAAACAATGTCAACAATCATGGGTGATAGTGTTTCAAAAGGTTGGCTCTGGATCTGAACAACAAGTAGTTAAAGCCAGAAGGTTGTACCATTTTAATTGACTGTACGAGATTATTTAGTATGCTTAAAAAAAAGAAGGAGCAATAACTACACTTACACCAGATTAATCACACCCAGAGTATTACGCAACTACGCTTCACGTGGTCTGATGAACGACACACCTGGGCCCAGTACATTTCTGCTCTTATGTTTACCTTTAGATTTGGCAGCACACAGCTGAACCTGCTGTAAGCATGAGCACGTGAGCCAACACAACCGGCTCATGTACTCGTTCCCTGTTGGAGTGTTGTGGAATTGCCCTTTAAAGGTGGAGACGGGGCAACCTCCATCTTTGACATTCCTAACAGCGTTTAAGTCAGACAACACAAATTCTGGGATTTTAGGAGCCCTAAAAACAAAGACTTGGAAACTGCTTACTCTGTTAAATTGAAAAACGCAGGGATTGTGTTTCAGTCTGGGCAGGTGGCAGTGGAGATCTGTACCATACCCTCAGCTTGTTCTACAAAAAGGGCTTCTTGTCCCTGCCTTTTACAGTAAAAATCCTGGAAATACGCAGTATGTGGCGGTCTTAATACACCATATTTTGCTGCTAAGCAACTGAAAGACACGGGTCACATCTTCCTATCAAATAAACCGACAAAGAATAAATGTTAATTTTGTAATGCATGTACAAAAATGATGATAAAACCTTTAATTAGTAGCATTAAATAGATGGAAAAACATACATTTAAGAAATTATTTATTAATTTACAGGAGGAATAAAATCTTAATCTGTAGCTACTATTTTGATGACATTATGCACACTAAACATTTTTTATTAGTACACATTTATAAAGAGTGATTCTAATTGTGAACATAAACATTGTACTTCAGTTCAAGCTTTTCTTCATAAATCTCTGCATTTAAGAAACACACAAAGAAAGAAGCAAGTCATTGCAACAGAAGCAACCAACTTTAACAGTAGTGCACTAATTAACAGCGGTGACGGGACGTAGCATTTTTGCTGTGTACTATTAGGATTAGGATTTGTTGGGTTTACGATTGATTCGATGACCTTTCCGTTCCTAATCCCTTGATTGATATTCCGGTTGGAATCCGTAGTCTTTTTTTATTATCTTTGGTTAGGATTAGGCAATAAAAATCTGTGGTTGTGGTTAGGAAAGGTGTTAGTTGTCCAAGTTTTCTTATAGCCAGAGTTATGGTTGTGGAAATTCAGGTTAGGTCTGTTCACACTGCCAAAAGTAATGGATTGGACTGAAGGCTATTACTGCAGCACTTTTCCCCTCGTGCAAGTAAAGCTAGCGATTGTCAGACCAATGAGAATTTAGTCTGATAAGATCAAACATGATGAGACTTCAGCCTTATTCAGCAACTCTGAAGGTGACGGTAGTAAATAATGCTGTTTCTCAAAATTCTTGCTCAGGTATATTGATGGAAGTGCATCAACAGTTACATTGACAACAAAAGTAGAGCAGGAGATAAGTGTGTGTGAGCCACGCTTGTTTGGTGAAACATGGATACCCTCGTTATTTTGTGCTAAAAGATGATCATTTTGGAGCTCTATGTGAGACCAGAAAATGGCCGACATGCGGCTGTTTGTTATGTCTCTCTCCCACTCTCATCCTTTGATCCCTCTGTGTTTGTATATGTGTGTGTGTGTGTTTGTTTGTATGTGTGCGAGTGTGTTTGCAGCCACTGGTCCATTCCAGGATTGAAATTAGTTCCAGCCCGTTCCCCTAATGGCTCCATAGATCATTGCTCCGTTCCATTTAGTAATCAGAGGACAGCTGTAGTCGCGTCCTCCACGCAAGAAATTACTCACTTTAATGAAGAAAGTGTAATTATATTTTCACTGCAGAGGGGGGAGGGGGTAAAAAAACAACAACGGGGAAATCTGGATGTAAGATTTAGGGCAAACACGCATGAAATGAGACTGTTAGTGTGTTACACTGTAAAGACATCAATCCAGGTTTATTAGTAACATCATGTCCAATGAGCATCTTTTTGCCATCTAAAGAGCTCCTGCTTTTCCTGTGGGGCAGGGTTATATTACACATGGTCAAAGTTTCTTCACAAATGCAAATAATCCCCCTGATCCTAAATCTCAGGCTTCAGCCTGCTCCTACTACTCACTGCTACAGTGAGAGCAAATATACTTAACAATGTAAACCATGAAATAATTGACAGTAAATTCCTTTTTTTTTTTAAAAAAAAAAAACGGAAGTGTTTTTTAAGCTTTATGACAATTTAAAAAAAAAAAAGTCAATTGTCAGACAACATTTTTGTGCCATTTATTGCTCAGTTTGTTTGTCTTAATCAAACAATCACATATAAGGGAGTTAGAGTTAAAAAACTGACAGCACATAGCCTGACGGTGAAGTTGCTAAGCATAGGTCGAATGCCTGTTGGACAAAAGGGGGCAACAAAGTTCATCAAAAGGGGGAAAAGCACAAAAAAGACAACAAGGGATCAAAAAAGCGTTAAGAGAAGCGCAAACAGCAGCAGGAGTGGACAGTTTACATTGTTTTTAAGACTGTTTAACTTCAAGATGGAGAAGTTCTTTATCTGGAAACCAAAACTAGCACAAAAGTGAAGAAGTGGATCCCACAGACTAGTTGTTTTTGACGCTGCTTCCTTGACACATGATTTTATCTCACACTCATAAGATGTCCAAGAAAGTCTCACACCAGATACAGGAAAACACTCAAGGCCTGTACTTTGTGAAAACAGTGATAAGTTGAAGTGGCGTTTTTTGTTTTCTGACATCAGGCTTCTTTTGCACCAACAGTAGTCCATAAACATCAGGGAGCACAGAATAAAGTTCACGTGCTTAATTTGCAAATGTGCACGAGCCTGTAAGAGGTTAATAAAGAGACTCGCCAGTGAACGCAGCCTAATCCTGGTTTGACAAAACGTTAACAGGACACTGCACACATTTACGCATATGGCACTACAGCAGTGACTGTTATTTATTCAATTATTCCTGACACACAGAGAAAATAGGTCAGGGCCTAACCTTGAATCACAGCCTACTGAACCTGAAACAGGTGAGCTACAGCACAGAGTCACTGTGCTACTGTTGAGTCCTTTTACACATGTTCAAGAGTCCTGAGACTAAAATGAAAGACAAATCCATCCATTTAGTGCAGCCCACAAATGACTTTTATTTATTCATTTATTTTTCTGTTACACAGTCAGTATTTGCATTAGTGGCTGTTGCATCTATAGTGTTGATGGATGTTTACGTAACATGACTTCATAAATCATAAGGCTTTAAATTCAGTGGTTTAAAGCCTTTGGTTATTCAATAAAACTGATAAACCGGTAAAACATTTATGAGATTTAGATTCGTTTATATCAATTATGTATGATTGTTCCAGTACATCATATGAGTTTCTCTTTGTGTGTGTGCTTCTGTGTTTTTTTGTTAGTGGCTAAAATGACACAGGAAGTTCATTGATACCAATTAAAATACATTTAGATTCATCATAACTGATATTTGAAACCTGCCTTAATATGTTCATCTCAGATTCACAGCTCTGATTGCAAGTCTTTAGTACAAGTGTTATTTGACTGTATACACATGGTTTAAACGGCAGTTTGACTGATTACTACAGTTGCAAGGTGTACAATGATATATAATATGTAGCTCAATGAAATCAACAATTTATGACAAAACAAATGCCTTAAAGTAAATATGGTGTTATTTCTAATTATATAAATGTATGTTGTCAAGTCCCTTATATATATATAGTAACCAGTTATCCAATCCTTATTTATTTATATACTCTGCACCACTGCATTGTTGCACATAAACATCAATATGACATATGTCTTGCTATTGTCTGTCATGTTGCTGTTTTTGGTATTATCTGTTTTCTATTCTGTTAAGAACATTGAGAGCAAAGAAAAAAACGATCCCGTTTCCTGGAATGTGTCCACCTACTTTGTCAAAAAAAAAGCTGATTCTGATGGACCAGTTATTTGAAATTGTGGTTCAATACAGATGCTCACTTTTCACATGAAAACAAAGAAATCTCTGAAAGTCTCTGTCCCTGAACGTTTATTCAGGGAAGCTGCGCTGACAACAGATAAACATCGGCCACCTCATTTGTCGATACGTTTCTTTCTCTTACCCAGGCTGACACAGGGAGGTGCTGTTATGTGGCTGATATATCACCCCGTCCCTACTTTTTAAAAAATTCAATAAACCTATAAAATGTAGCCTAAGTAGTGAAAATGTTTAAGCTATGAAACAGAAAAGCCCAAGCCTAATCATTAAGGTGGCTGTGGTAAAGGCAAAAACTATAACTGTTCTCTGAGATGGACCGACCCTAACTAATCTGATAATTTCACATGTAAAATTAGTGGACTCACCTACAAAATGTTGTTTGTGTCACGGTTTATGGTTGTTTCAGTGCAGGATTTAAAGTTTAGTGCTGGATTTTGACAGCACTGCTACACTGGCTGAACGTATCACAGTTTCCATCCTAATGATAAACTCCAAATTGATTTTTACAGTCTGCATGGCAGGCACAGAGTTTGCTGTGGGAG